ATAATAGTTAGCTGTAGCCCTAGCCAGGAAACAGTGATGGTTGTTATAAGGTTCATTTGTCTGTTGTTGTTTAAATATAAATTCCCCATAACCTAAAGAAAATGTCTCTTTTTCTTAAAGGAAAGTTTAAAGTCATAATCGTATAAATTAGGGCTGAACACCTTTGTCAAAAATGAAAATTGCGATTTATTTTAACCAATATTGCGATTTTATTGTGGTTCCAACAAATATGTAGATGTTTCACTTTAGGGTTTCAGTTTTTTCCTGACCTTGTTGCAGGACTTCAATGTAAAATTAATGCCACCTAAAAAGCTGGAGGGATAAATTTACCTACCTAATTTATCTCACTATTGTTAAATGTGAAGTGACTATAGTTGAGTGCTTCTGTGATTTGAAAATTGTGTTTTGCTAAACTGCAATTATATTGCAAATGCAATTAATTGTCCAGCCTTGTATAAATTATTGTATTATTGAAGTAATATTTTAATTTATTGTTTTAAGAGATGAGGCTTTTATTCTGGCACTACCAGCCTCAGCAGTGATACATTATATATATTTTTTAATAAAAAGCAAAGTTGTGAGTGTGCTGCACACAGGTTGGAGGCTGTGTGTTTGACTGGAGCAGGAGAAGTAGGTGAAGCAGAGAGCTGTGCAGGAGATGACGTACCGCTCGCCCATGCAGCCGCTGGCGTGTCACGAAGCAGAACCAACAGATCTAATGTTATGACAGGCGAGCAGACGTCCTGCTTCCCTCATCTTGGCGGGCGGAAAATCAGATTGATAATGTTTTGACTAAGAATAACTCGGTGAATAACTGGCTAGGAATAACTTTAGGGGAGAAGTGGCAGAAGAGACGTTTTTTAACAGAATATTTTGTGGTCTTCCTCTTTCTCACTAATTCACTTCTCCCTTTCGTTTGGAAATTATTTAGAATTTGTCTTTTTATGTGTCATAACTGAACTGACCAGGATTTTTCTCTTCATTTATGATTTTCTTTGAGGTCAAACATTTTTGTTTTAACACATAAAAGAGTGAAAATTGGCTGCGGACTCTGATAAAGACCACAATATAAAGCTAACTATAAAATGAAAGAATTACAAGATTATTCCTATTTATTTAAATCTGATTTAAAATAAAATGTAAATGTAATTACAGACCAATAAGTTGGAAAACTTAGTGTTGGTACATTTTGTATATAGGAAAAAATAGCCTACCTTTCATTTATTTATCTACTACGGAAGAGGATTAGGGCCAATGAAAAAAAAAGTTAACTGATTTTTAAATTTTATTTCAGTTCAATATGGGAAAATCATGGAAGAGGATTAGGGCCAGTGGAAAAAAAAAAGTTTACTGATTTAAAAATTTTATTTCAATTCAGTATTGGAAAAAAGTCAGAATTCTGACTTT